AATTGTGACAAAAATGTGAGTTGACCAAGTGGCTATTGATAACGTAATTTCTTACAAGAATGATATACTCAAAGAACTCTACACATTGAAAGGTTTGGATCATTGATATGAACCCGGATCAGGGCCCACCACAGCCCAACAGGACCATCAAATTTGAAAGCAAACTGGAGATGAACCCCCCTTCCATAATAAAACACATATATGTATACACCTTTAACAAAATGCATATGGTAATATGTTCTCCCATAATATTATATCTCTATTGTAAGAGCACAAAAAATACCTTGCGCATGTACTCATTGTGATCAAGCTCAAACTCTTCCAAATGATATTGTATGACCTAAAAACACAACTCAAGTAAGCTTACTGGCAGGTGTGTACGGGAAAACTCCTCTGATACCTAAGTCAATTCAAAGGATCAATATGGGGTAAACCTCTCTAGGAATTCTGTAAACAAAGTTGCATTACCTAGATTAGGTTTAACTCTAAGATTTTATGTGTTCTATATGGTTAGAATCCTAATAGGATTCTAATTCTTACTCATAGAGTCCCTTTAGGAATCAACTTCTTAAAGGATAATATCCATCCTTTAACACCCTAACTACTCAAGTTCCAAGTGGAGTGTCCCAACTTCGAGCTTGGTAATTGGACTGCACAAACCATATGTCTGATTGCTCATCATTTGCACAACTACATTAGCCAAGTCTTGCTCACTTCAGTGAAGACAATCGAACAATACCATGACACAAACATCGTGTTCCAGTTTGCCAAATCCAAGTATGTGGTATGTCATCCATACCGGTCAAACTCTTGACTAGGTCGGCCAAGGCTTACGTCAGACATGCCCATTTTTTCCGGTCGACATCTTTAACCTAGACTAAAGTTAGCTCAGCCCATTAGGCTAATGTAAACTTCCCATACAATTTATCTTTGCTTGGCCCACTCTTGTGGGGCCTTAAGTCCACAGACTGCGTTTGCCTGATCCAGCTTGTGTTATGTTCCCAGTGGGTAAGGCACCTTCATTTTGCTAGGTCACCTGTGTTAGACCTTGTTCTAGGTCACCAAAGTTAGACAAACACTTTGCTAGGTCGCTAGAGTTAAGCCTAGCAAAGTCAGTTTGCTAGGTTTCCAGAGTTAGACAAACACTTTGCTAGGTCGCCAAAGTTAAGCTTAGCAAAGTTCGTTTGCTAGGTCACCAGAATCAAACAAATACTATGTTAGGTCGGCAAAGTTAAGCTTAGCAAAGTTTGTTTTCTAGGTCACCAGAAACAAACAAACACTTTGTTAGGTCGTCAGAGTTAAGCCTAACAAAGCCCATTTGCTAGGTCACCAAAGTTAGACGAACATTTTGCTAGGTCACTAGAGTTGGACAAACACTTTTTTAAGTCACTAGAGTTAAGCTTAGCAAAGTCTGTTTGTTAGGTCACTAGAGTCAGAAAAGCACTTTGCTAGGTCACCAGAGTTAGGCCTTGACGGGTTTTGCCTAGCTCACCAATCCGGTAAAAATGTCCCTCTTGTCTATAATAGTGCAAAAGTGAAGTGGACATTGTCTATAGAAACATCAATGCTCTCCCTGTTGGGTTAACTACCAGCTAATCACATTAAGTGGACTTAAATAACAATAAGTTCTCTTGACTTTTTCAAAGCACTAATAAATCCTATATTACCTATGTTGCCCTCATTAAAATATTGTCTAGCAAATTCTTTTATTTTCTCTGTCTATAGCAAATCTTTTCATATCTCTCTCTCTCTCTCTCTCTCTCTCCACCATATCTCCAAAACCTTCACACTATCATTGCTCATTATTATCATAACTGCACTGCCGTTATCGTCGCCATCTAGCCACTACAACTACCGACACCGTCGTTATCCAACCATCACCACAATCGCAAAGTCATCTTCCACTCACTACAGTCATTATCCATTCGCTATTGCCATCGATCTACACTCTATCGTCACAAATCCACCATCGTCATTCACCAACCATATTAGCTATCACCGATCTACACTTTACATCTCCAATTTCCACTCTGTCATCGTAGATCCATCGATCTAATTGTTTCAATGGTGAAATTGACTCCAAAATGTCTCCAAACAACAGTATTTTTTCAAATCGTACCCTTCCTCCTCTCTCTCTCTCTCTCACTCTCTCTCTTTATTTTAAAAAACATATTTGTTGTAAATTTATGTTTCAATGATAAATTTATCAGATGTTGGCTATGTATATGTATGTAGGATGAGAGTGTCTTGTGAATAAGTGAATAGAAATGTGAATGTGAATGTGAATAAGTAAATGATGTCTTCTTCTTTTCTTTTCTTTTCTTTTTTACAAATTAATCAGTAATAAATTTATCGTTGAATGTATCTTTAATTATCACTGTTGTTGTGCTGAAATTTTGATATTAATGCGGTGGTAAATTTATCACTGATTTTATTCAATATATTGTGAATTGTTGTTGTGCTGAAATTTTGAATCATAAATTTATCACTGATTTTGTTCAATATACTATTGTTGTTGCTGATATATGTTATTCTTGTTAAAATAATTCAAAAAACTATTCTCAAAAACTATCACCAAAGGTGGTCACTGGCACAGGAGGTGGTTGTTGGCAGTGGAAGAAAGAATCCTAATAGTGTTGATAATAACGATGAAGAACGTGAATGAATGGCATTTTAGAAAAGAAAATACTAGAAATTTTAAAATTTTATCAAATATTTTATCAAATATCTCATATAGATGTGAATCTTATACATATGTAAGACACACCTCATATAAGACATTTAATAAAATATTTCATAAAAATTTTAATATTCCTCGCATTATTCTTTTGAAATAACTTACTCAATATAACCGACCAGTAAGTGTCCCATCTCTATCCTTACTCTGACCCATTTTCCTGTTCAACAAAATCAGCTTCCCTTCTCTTCCCATTCGTTACAATCGGTCCACACCCTAAAAAACCTAAAGGTTGACCGATATTGTCCATCAGTATTTGGCTATAACATTTATTTCTCTGGTTGGGACTCACGTGTATAGAAAATAACAAAATTGCAAATGGGCCCATTCTTGGCCCACGTGTAAGACATCTCTTTCCCCGTCACCTCTCTAACATGTAAATAATATTTGTAACAACTTTCCTTCCAACAAGTAAATAGTAGTTGTAATATTTTAATATTTTATTGTCAAGTAAAATTACTTACATTGGTAACATAGGGTGTTTTTTAAAAGATGATTAAGGTCAAGTTTGGCATGATTAAAAAAATATAAAAAGTCAAAAAGTTACTATTCTATTTAAGTCACATCATCTTATTTACGTCACATCACCTCTCTAACACATCATTTCAAACCCAACCCAAACTCAACCCATATTTCATAAAAAGTCAAAAAATACATTTATTTAGTCTTCCCAAACTAGGCCTAAAAATTATTTTTTAATTTTTTTTAAATCTTTTTATAAGAAAAGAAAGTGAATTAAAAATTTAAAAGTAAATTTTAACTAACTTTTCAAAATGAGCAGTAATTGTGTAAGACATCTCTTTCCCCGTCACCTCTCTAACATGTAAATAATATTTGTAACAACTTTCCTTCCAACAAGTAAATAGTAGTTGTAATATTTTAATATTTTATTGTCAAGTAAAATTACTTACATTGGTAACATAGGGTGTTTTTTAAAAGATGATTAAAAATTATTTTTTAATTTTTTTAAAATCTTTTTATAAGAAAAGAAAGTGAATTAAAAATTTAAAAGTAAATTTTAACTAACTTTCAAAATGAGCAGTAATTGCTTTATATGTTTGTTTCTAATGATATTATGAATCAAGGGCAGTATCTCACATTGCATATAAATATATATATATTACTTTGAGAATTGATTTTTTAAAATTTTTTACGAAACAAGTGTAAAAAAGAATTAAAAAAATTAATATTTTTGTAATAATTTTTTAACTTTTAAACTAAAATGTGTACTTCCCAAAATAAGCCTCAATATAACAATTACGTTAGAGTTGATGATTACATGTCAATTGTAAAGTTCACTCGCCATATATATATATATTTCATTGTTGATTGGTAATATTAGATGCTAATAATAATAATTTGGTTCCCATCAAATTGTCCAAGTTTTTTGGGCAAAGTTCTCTCTAGTCCACCGTCTAGATTTGAGGATGGTGTTGTACGTGCTTGTAGGAACTAGTCTTTATTTCAATCATCGGAACAATTCATTTTATAAAATTTTTCACGTATATCATTTACAAAATAAAATAATTTAATTTAATAATACTCATCTCTTTATTTTGTCAAGTTTATCTAAAGAAAAATTAGATGATCTATTTTTAAAATCACAATTGTTGTTTACTTAAAAACAAAACACGGTAAAATAAAGAGACTACGTAGAGAGTCATTCAAAATGAATTATTTGAATCATCAAAATAGAACTGATAGAAAATCTCATGAGCTTGGACAACATAATTCAATCCAAATTATGGACTAGAGAGAAATTCAACCCAAATTTAAAATAGAAAACACAAAAATTGGAGGGCAAAAAGATAGATGACTGATCCAACGAGTGATTTTTGGTGATCTTGAAATATTTCTTCATACCACTTATCATGTAATATTTGTAAGTTATTTTCCCAAAACAAAACAAAACAAAAAAATAATGGATTTTACTGTTTTAATCAATCAATATTAAGTTAAAATACCATATAACATTGTCCAAGCAATAAAATAATAATAATAATAATAATTTCTTCAAATCCAACAGTGTCCTCGCTTAGTAACATAGTTAAGATTAATTTAACTTATTAAAATTAAAATAGATAAAAAAAAATTAATAAAATAAAATATCATATTTAAATTATAATTGCCTCACAAAATTAAAAAATGTGAAAAGTTTATCTTAGATGAAACTCTCCAGTACGGACTCCCTCCCAAACTGCTCGACCGTTAACAGCACTCCCGCCTATATATATAACCGTGCCGTGTAACTCAAAACAGCGAGTGAAAATAGAGTCCCCAAAACGCAGGCGAAACAACAGTAAACGGCGATGGCATGCTTGTGTTTCATGGTGGATCAGACGAGGAAGGTGAGGAGGAGTAAGCCGGTGGCCGGATCATGCTCGAGGTGCGGCAGCGGAGCCAGCGTGGCCGACATGAAGACGGAGACAAGGTTCTGCTACGTACCATTCTACTGGAAGTCATGGAAAGCAATCATCTGTACTTTTTGTGGAGCCACTCTTCGATCTTACCCATGAACTATATTAATATGGGCAATGTTTGGTAGCCCAAACATGAGGTTGGTTCGAATGACTCGAAATTTATCGTGCCGTCATCTGGTGAGGAAGTTATTAGTCGCGGTCGATAAAAGTGACAATCTCGGTAGACAATCTTTCACCCAGTGGTGTGGGTAGACGTCCGGCCGGTCATCCGAATGGACGACCGGCCAACACTCATTCGGGCCATTCGAGTCCCTCCAATTCGAACTACCACGTTTTTTCCAATTAATATATATATATATATATATATATTTTCAATTATTATTGTTAGTTCATTTTTCGCTTTTAGTCTCTAACCTTTCAAGTTGTAATTTTGATATACCTTTCTGATTCTTGTAATTTTGTTCATTTTGTTTGATGGGTTTGGTTTTTATATAAAAATTGAAGTTATGGAGGAAGAGATGATTTTTCACTTGGAAGAGCATCTCCAACCCATCCTCCATATCTTCAAATATGAATGATCCTCTCCCAAAAACAGCTCCAACCCATCCTCTATATCCTCCTCCATTTGGGAGGAGGATGAATTGATCCTTCAAATATAGAGGGAGGATGAAAAAATGGAGGAGACTCTAAACCACTATTCACTCTATATTTTTTAATTATATTCGAAATAACTTTTAATGTGAAAATTTAATTTTTATAAAAATGACATCAATAAAAAGTATAAAATCATACCTTTAAAATGAGTATAATATTAAATATGTTTTACAAAAATTTTAAAATTAAATATTTATTAGTGAACAAAAATTACTTTTTGATTAGAGTTTGAATGAAGGAAATGAAGGTTTGTGGTTGAAGTTTGAATGAATAGTGACCTCCTTTATATTTACTTTTTGAATAAAAAATATTATTTTCATCCTCTCTTGAGAAGAGGATGTGGTTGGAGATGCTCTAAGAGCATCTCTGATGCTTTATTTATTATTATTATAATTCTTCTTTTTATTAAATTTGTTTACCAATTTTTTTTTTTTTTTTTAAAGTTTGATTTGGGGAATTTGTATATAATAACTGTTTCTTATTCCAAATTCTCACACTCCCCTGCTTTTTCCACTTCATTTCCCTCACATTCCTTGTTTTTAGGATTTTCCAATTGCTAATTTGTTCTGCACATAATTCATAACCTAGGGTTTCATAAAGTTCTCCATCAATTCAATTCAACCACATATTCTGCAATCTCAACATCTAGGTCACCAATTTTCTGAAAATTCAGGGAAGGAGAGACAGACGAAGACGATACGGTGCGGCGTACGGGCATTGACCCTAAATCAATTATCAAATTTTTTATCAAACCTTATAAGACTCACACATATGTAATTTGTGTGAATCTATATCCATATGAAAAATTTGATAAAAAAATTTAATAATTTATTTAAAATTCATAGCATTTTCGGACGTTTGATTTCCAATCAGAAATAGAGGGGAGAGATAGAGAGCAGCGTTTGAGTCGTTTGGGGCCCTTTTTGAATTTCAAGTTTGCCACGTGATTCGGGCAGGATTTTTTTTTTTTTAATCAAACATTATTCTTTTTAAAAATATCTAACATATTCTAAAAAAACTTGGTTTAATCAATTCAGGTGAGAAAAATTGATCTCTAAGCTTTCATTTTTTAACAATTTCATCAAATTTAACTCAAAAAGAGTATTTAAAAATTTGAAGAAATGTTTGATTTAGCCCTTATTTAATGAAGTTTATGATAAAAACTTGATTTGATATATGTGTAATGAATGGAATAGATCTCATTTTCATCCAACTTAAATTTGACAAAGGAATTTAGTAAAGGATTGAACATCATCTAATTAATCAGAAATTAATCTCTCTCAATCTATCTACTTGTTTTTTGTTTTTCGGCAATCTATTCTCCAAATTTGAGTAATGTTACATATCATTTGTTTGTTTTTTTATCATTTTATATTACCATTTCATATGGTATTATTTTATTCGCCTTCATTATATTTTGGAGAACTTGTAAACAAAAATTTCAGGTTTGAACCTTATAATAAAATAAATTTTTACTTTTAATTTTATCAATTTAAATCTTATTTTCAATTTAAACCATCAGCATATTTCCTTTAAGTAAAATTGACTGAAAAATAATATTTAAATCATTAAACTCAATGTATGTGTATGTCTAAAATATCCTTTCTGGTTGAGTTTCATTATTAAAATATTTATTTTTCCGCCAATTTTAGTTAACAGAAATAGGCTAGTGGTTTACATTGAAAGCACATTTAAATATTATGATTTGAATTAATAAAATTAAAACTGTTAGGGTTTTTTTTTTTTTTTGTAATTTCTTCTTATATTTTTAATCCTAATAAGGAACTAATTATGAGAATTTAAATAAATAGTAACAAAAAATAAAAAATATATGCTATTTCATACCAAGTAAGCGCTGTTCATAAGAACAACTCCAGTACTTCCTATACATCGAGTTGCTGCAAAAATTTTCATGATGGGTACATAAAACACACTCTAGCAGTGAACAATCTATCGTGCCGAATTTAACATTAGAGTAATATTATAAATTCATTCTTATCAATTCAAAAATTATTTAAAAATTAATTTTCGTCACATTCCATATGAACCCCACATGAAGTCACACTACAAAAATTAATTTACACTACATAATCACCCACCAGAATTTTCTGGGTGGATATGTCTAGACTTTTGCTTAACATTATGTATTAGCATGTTATTTCTAAAGTGGCACCTTCAGACAATAAAAATTGGCATATAATTTGGAAAATTGAGTTGGTGATTGACATATTTTGAGGAATGCTAATTTTGGCATAACCAAAAGATGTCAAGTTTTGTTGTTTTCATTATTTTAATAGTATGACCCTACAAAAGGGTTAAAAAAAGATTAAAGTAAAAAATAAAATAATGCATTTGACATATTAAATAGAATGTTCTTTTTTCAGAGATTTCAAATTTACATATGTCAATTTGCACCTAAGCCTGAAAAAAAAAAATTGGCATACTAACTTTTGAAAATCAGGTTGGAGATGCTCTTGTCTATCATGTCAAATTTAGAACAATATGCGTGAAAATCGTACTGTGTTAATTGTATTCATATCATGTCATTTTCAATTCATTTAAGGTTATTATGTCTTGTCATTCCAGATTCATATTCAATAACCATGACAATTGCTATTTCGGTTCAAAATATCAATTGTATGAAAACATTATTTTTTCCCCCTTTACTTCATAAAAATATTTAATTTTATTTTTCAAAATTCAAAAAATAATGCGCAATAATTTTATTTATTTATTTTTGTTTATCAAATTGATTCTAATAGCAAACAAAAATATCAAGTTAGCACAAATAGAAAATAAAAAGACCATTGAACTTAAAATCTTATTTAAAAGATTTTTATTCAATTGGATGAGATTACATAATATCATGACACTCTTTATTAGAAATAATAATGAAATTTATAATTAATCCTTTATTAAATAAGTTATTCATATTAACTTTGTGTCACGTGTTATTTAAAAATTATTTATTTTTGTGTTCTTGTGTCTTGTCATAATTAGATTTGTATCAAAAATGACCAACTCTAACTCGTTAATTTAGTAAGTGGTTGCTTTGGCTGCTACATGTTAATGCATCAGGCTTTTGCCATCATTAAAAAAAAAAAAAAAAACAAAACAGAACAAAACAAAAATTTTGTGTATGCTTCATATCACTACCAAAATTTCCACTCCTAATTTTATTTAAGTTTGAAATAAGCCATTAAATTGAATTTTTTTTTTAAATACTAGATATTGAATTATATATTTCTTACCTAAAAGTTTTAATTTAAAGATACTGTAAATATATATAATAAAAAAAAAAAAAACAAAAAAAAAAAAAAAAAAAACTTTGTGTATGTTTCATATCACTACGAAAATTTCCACTCCTAATTTTATTTAAGTTTGAAATAAGTCAATAAATTGAATTATTTTTTAAATACTAGATATTGAATTATATATTTCTTACCTAAAAGTTTTAATTTAAAGATACTGTAAATATATATAATTAGATACGCATGATCACATCATATGCTAAAAATTAAATCATGTTAAAAAGTAGCATGTGTATTACTAGAGCAGATATATCAAAATGTGACGTTTTGATATTATAACATATTAAAATATGATACTAACACAGTTGAAATGACATACATTTACTAGAGATAATCATATAATCATAGAGTGGTGCTACATCATACAAAAATAATTGGTTCGATGTTTTTATCATTTTGGTTTCAAAAAAGAAAAGAATAAAAAAAAGGAACAAACATAACCTTATTCTTTGTAAAATTTATGGTTGGCAAGGTTGGGAAATTTTATGGTACACACCCTTTTAAAGGTGTGTATTATATGCATCCTATTATAAATTAGCATATTTTTATCATAAAATTTCACGATATCAATTACAAAATCCGTAATCTCACCACAAATTAGTATAACAAAATATTTAAAATTTTGTGGCTCGTAAAAGTTTGTGACTTTATTATGACATTTTTTGTTACTTCAATTTGTGATGAGATTACGTATTTTATAATTAATATTACAAGATTTTATAATAAAATTACACAATTATAATAGAGTGCATATGATACACACTATTTAGGATTTCCCGACGAGATTTGATTTGGAGATAACTTACAATAGGACAGTGCAATGTGAATGAATAGTCCATTATAGTGAGTCATACCAACTTAAATGATGGCGTGAACCCAACCAAAAACACAGAAAATGATAATTTTCAAAACTTTTTTTCATCCAGCAGTTGATCTAAATGTCACAATTAGTTATAATGACTAGTTGTTGGCCTTGACTAAACGGAAAAATCTGAATCCATGGAGTTGGGTTTGGATTCAGATGGTCGTGAAGGGGCTAAATATAAATGGAACGGGTCAAAACTATTGGGTCGGTCCAACTCATCAAGCCCAAACCCGATTAGCCAAACACCAATCGAGTCCATATTCTCATGAATCCTCCCCTATGTCCTCAAGCACTTGAGCCAAATCAATCGAGATGAGACCAGCTTGGACAAGGTACTGAGATGGGCCGAACCATAAACTAAACTATATGGACCAAACCCCTAAACTGAACTATATACGTTGAACACATAAACTGAACTATATGGGCTAAACCTATAGACCGAACCACATGGCCGAGCTCATCAGTAGAACTGACGTGAACCGAGCTCACACAAAGTCATCCATATGGGTCAGCCTATCTCAAACAAACAACTTCACAAGAAGGCCAAACAAGGTTGGCCAAGGAACCGAGTAGACCAGGCAAAGTCCTTCAGTGGCAGGCTTCTAAACTGTGAGCATGCATGTGCA